AGACTTAACTATGAACATGAACAATAAGATGACGAACAGGAATACCTCAAAATGCAATTATGTGTGTGTGTGTATATATTATGCATGTGTACATATTATGTGTCTGTGTGTGTGTGCATTTAATGGGTGCATGCGTGCGTGTGTAAAAAACCAAATGAGGCAAAATCATGGCAATAAAGTTAGGTAAAGATGTTCAAAACTAACCAGAAAGTGAAAAGAAACTTGCTAAGTGAGATCACACTTTGATATACTGGAAATATCAATGAATTTAACACCTTGTTGAAAATCGTAAATGAAGGAAAACTAGAAGACAAATGTAGACAAGAAATAAAAGAAAATTAAATGGAAAGACAACATCAAGAGTTATACATAAAACCAGGTTAAGGACAGCATCATTATGGCTAGAATTTCTGAATTCTGGAGATCCATTCTAGTCCATCTTTAATGTCAAGATGGCAACGTATCTGACCTGACTACCAGTGACAACAATACCAGTTTAATAAGATAATGCAATGTTTTACAAGAAACTATGACAATGTTACTACCATGCAAGAGTTACTAGTGCCATTGGAACTGGAACTCTATGCTTGCTGCTGAAGAATGGGACGGAGCACTTATGGGTATGGCCTGAGTGCTGTGATGTCAATTCATAATTCAACATTTAACATTCCACGCAAGAGTATGGACTTTAAGCAGAAAACCATTTTGTGATCAAAACAACATGAAAATACAAGAAGTAACTTCAGTCACTAATGCTACAGGGCATCTTCATTTCTGTACATTATTTCATGTGGTTAATGTTCAATGTTTTTTTTTTCTTCCAGAACAATGTTAAAAATCAGAAAATCTACCCCCCATTACACTAAAATATATCAAACATGTCATTGACTTCATGAAATAATGGTGCCATTTCTGTGACAGGTTTTAACTCCAGGAAACGGAAACAATTACTTCTTGGAATAGAAAACATGTTCAACCTCTCATCATAGAAATCTGTAGACAACATAGCTGTCAGTTGTGAACTTTTAAGTATTCTTAACAACATTCACAGTGCTGCAAGCTGACAGAAATAAATAAATAAATGGTACATACAACAGCTATCAAAGTGTTGATGTATTAATACAAAGTTAAAACTTTTTAAAGAAAACAGTATCAAAAAAAAAAAAGTTACAAAACTCTCAAAACAATGTATATATGCACTCTCATAAAGTGCAAATCCATTTCAGCACACAGATGAGTCTAATTCTATTAATGCATACATATATTGGTCCAACAGATCAGCTGCTACACTCAAATATGATTTGTCAACTGGAAACTGTTAATCGTTTTCAGAGAGATGTACTTCTTGCAGTCACAAACAACACAGACGATGGCCTTCATTTATTATATATTATCATCTGTTGTGGCAATATCTGACACCTATTAAAAGTCATGAAAAATGTGAGTTTCTTTGGATCGCTTAGGAGGTGGGGGAGGTGGTGTACGTTTCTTTGCAGATCCATAGTTTGGTTGCTCACATTCTGAGAAAGGCAGATCCATGAGCAATTCTGGGGGTGGGGGAGGCAGTTCATCAATATTCATCATATCATCTACATTTTCATAGAGTGGGTCTAGCATCGGAACACATATTCCATTCTGTTCTGAGCACGGCTTTTGTTGCCTAGTCAATTCAACCGACAGTCTTGTGGTTTCGTTACGTTTAGGTGGGGGAGGTGGAGCAGTTCTCTTATCTAGTTTGGCTGCTATATTTCCAGCAGATGCAGATCTACAATTACTGGCAGCAGGCAAGGACTGATCACTCCTCACTTCAACATCAGAGTTGTCTGCCTCTGGTTCTGGATGTCTTCTGGAAAATGCTGATGTTAATGGCAAAGTGGATGACTGAAAATGGCAGCTATTCCTTTCATTTTCGGCAGCATTCTTGCATTCTCCATCAGACATGGCCATTGAAGAGTCTGTCAGACCCGCTTTTTCAGTGGGCTGTCTGTCACCAAATGATGGCTTAAAAGCAAATGATGATGATGACCTCAAAGGGCAGCCAGACACAACAGGAGAAGCTGCTCTTGTGTAAAGAGAAGATTTTGGAAGTGTTGGAGGTGGTATTTTTGAGCTGGTAGTGGCTACTAAAGGATGAGTATAAACATGAACAGATGAATGAACTGGAGGTTCGTTACTGGGTGAATAAAAAGGAGATGATGGAGAATCATCTGGAAGCTCATTTATTTTCAACTTCAAGCTGTTAGCAATAGCAGCAGAACTGATGTGAGGTTTTGGCAATGTAGGTGGAAGTGATGCCTTAGAATGACTTGAACTAGAGAGAGGTACAGCCACATTATATTGGGACTCCTTTAGATTATACAGCTTTTGCTGATCCTTGGCCGTTTCAGCTGAAGTAACACTGGAACTAAATGGTACAGGAGACATTAGTCGTGGAGCTTGCATGAGATGCTCTGAAGCAAGTTTGTCTGTACGAAGTGCAGCAGCAGAAAGTGTCATATGATTATCTTCATTTGTCAATTCTCTGAACTGTGATGGTGGTGGTGGTATGGCAGCACTGCAAAGTCTTTCCTTGGCTGTCTCATTAGGTAGTGATGGTGTGGGACATTTAATCTGAGTATACATTTTGTCTGAGTCTTCATGGTGACTTCCGTAGGAGGATTTCATATCCACATGTTGCTCTTCTCTCAAAGGTGAGTAGACTGTGGAGTAAACAGAATTAGATGGCTTGCTATTTGTGGCATTGGATGTAACTAGTTCACTCCTTCTCCCTACATACTGGTAATAACCTTCTGAAGTGGAACTATTTTGTTTATTGTAGACATGCGAGATATCACCTCCACCATCCACTGAATGCTGTTTAATGCTGGAAGATCCTTTCACATAAGCTGACCGTTGACCATAATCCGAGCTAACTGACCCGTGTGGTCTGCGACATTCAGGCATAGATGACCTTTTCCTGTCAGCACGTGAGAAGTTTACCTGTGGCCGATGATGAGTTTCAGCATAGATGCTTTCTGCTGTCTCGTCTATAGAAACATTGCACATGTCAGCTAGTTGTCTAGTGGTCTCAGTTGTTACTGGAAGTTTGGGCCGCATTTTCCCTCGGAAACTTGAGCCCAGCCGTGTTTCCCCACTTGTGTTGGAGTCTTCACTGGAATCTGTTGACGAACTTATGATGGAGTCTCTGTGTCTGACAGTCTGCTCGCTGGAGTCCCCGTTTATTATACTGTGAGTTTTGCTGAATGATACACGCTTGATTGGAGTCTTGTGACCCGATTCTGACATTGAAGATCCAATAGATGAACTGCCAATAGAGCCACTGAGGGATCTGTAGATGGAACAGACAATGACGGACATGTAATGCTGCACTATGGAATATTTCAGTTTGATGAAATCATCACTTGAATAAAATTATTGGCATATCAAGTTAGTGGCATATCCTTTCAAACTTTTTTTTTTTTCAGAAATGACTTTAGCTCCCAGGTTGACCCAGCCTTAAATAGGTAGCAGGTAAAGTCCTGGGAAGTAAAGGTGACTGATATGATGTTGACCACATCACCCATCAAGCGCTGATAGGTCTACAAAATCTAAGTCTAGCACTATATGCCTAATAAGCCTAAAAGTGTACAAAAGGGTCCTTTACTTAACTGTATTGTTTCGGGAGTTTGCACACCAACCCTAGCATTTATTTATTGGCTGTTACCCTTATATGTCAAGACTGTGAAAGTGCATTCACAAACTCTAAGCCATAGATGCCAACATATGCGCATTACAGACATATAATATGGCAGAAAACTGTTTTCTGATAACTTGGAACAGAAAAAACAACAAGGGTAACAACGATCAAAGTATGTTGAAGAAGGTAATATTTGTCAGATAAGTTATTTTTACACTTATAATCCATCATCGTCTCTCTCAGTCTCCTTCTGTCTTTTTCCGCCTTTAATTTTGCACCATCACAATGTATTCCAGTTTTCTCCTTCTCAGGACATGACCAAAGAATATATAAAATTATCTAATAAAAGTATCACTATGGATAGCAGAAAATAGAGTTACCAGAGGAATTAATGTATCTGATTGGCAATCGATGCTGGGGAATGTTCAAAATCAACGAAGTTAGCAAGAGTGGATACCAAGTACGTATACTTTCTAGGAAATACAGGAGTGCAAGGGAATGAAAGAGCAGATTTTCTGGCTATAAAATGCGATAGCTGTGGGAATTCTCGCATTGGACAAAAAAGACACTCTGAAAACCATTTATAACCAAATACTGATAGAAGACACAAGGTTAAGTGAAAAAACGTGTAAGAACGTGTGAACGAGGAATAAGATGTGGATCCTGCAAGAAGGGACATATTAGAGGAGAATAACTATGTATGTATAATCAGCGTGCTATGGGAATAGTTAAAATCTATTTGCTGCGGGATACTATGCATCTGTAGGTATGCCCTATGTGCTATGATGTTGACTCTTGATGTTATATCAGTTTTAACATATGCCAGTGAAAGTTGGGAAACCACCAAAGACAGGGAATAAAATTTGAATGCAGTAGAAAGCTAAGGAAATTGCTGAACATTAAATGGCATGAATTCAAGGAAAGCAAAGAGGTGAGAGAAATGTCCGGACAACCTCTTGTTTCAACAATTGTAAGAAAAAGAAAGATGGCAGATACTAAAATGAGAAAAATATAGACTGAGGAAGTGGAAATGTCCAAAAGAAACCCAAAGATAAGCTTCGATGAGAAGGGTGGGAGTGCTGGGCTCGATTTCATCCATTATGTTAAAACAATAGCAGAAATAAACAGAATGGAAGAATAAATGGTGAGCTCTATGTGACACATAATGGCACAACGTGATGATGATAATTTGCTGGATCTCATCAGCAGTATTACTGAAGAATTTATATACAGTAAAGCACAAGTCGGAATCCTTTCAACTGAAATACACATATCCCGTTTCTTATACATTTCTTCAATTTGAAAAATAAACTGTCCAACTTACCTTCCATCAGAACTTCCCCCAGATTCAGCAAATTTGTGTGGCGGGCCTGGCAGAACCTCAATGCTCATGCCATTTCTCGTAGTATCACCGATGGTACATTTGTGCACCAGTGATCGACTCAAAACTTGAATAACTGAGTGGCAGTTAGCAGGTTCTGGAACTGACATGCGACTGTCACTGAGGTCAGCATGATTCAACATCTGGCACACAGCTGTATCGGCAGTTACAGATCCAGTTTCCGGTTGCCTCTGGTCCCACATGGAGATCTCATGTGTGAGATGCTCATAGTTGTGCAGCATCTGTTTGCCCAGCTGTGTATCAGTAAAATAACATTTTTAAATCAGTTCGGAAGCTCACTCATTATTAACAAGCTCACTCACTATTAACATTCAGAAAATAAAAACAAACAAGATATTACAAAGCATTAACTATTTAAGACCCAAACAGTTGATTCTATCAAAATAGTTTGCTAAACAAATAGTAGCAGTAGTAATTTTTTTTAATATCCTGTTCAACCCTCAAGGCTAATATTGGGATGAATAGTGCTGATTGATTTCTCAGAGTATATATTTGTTATTTTATATTATTACATCCTGCAATTATTTAAATTACAGATACATCCTGCAATTATTTAAATTACAGATACATTATTTATATTGTTTCAGACACTGCTTTGAGTTGAGTAATGTTTATGACAGAAACTGTACTACGAATAATTGAATAATCTAACTAAAATTGTGCTATTAACATGCTGGATTTATTATTCCCATAGTGAAAAAACTGATTATTCTCCTCGATGCTAAACAAGTGTATAAATGATCTGGCAGACAATGCAGTTTCTACGACTGGCCCAGCAGTTGAAAGGAGTGATGGCATTAATGTCATGTGAGATGCATATCATAAAGATGATTAGAACAATAAGCAGAACTCAGTATTTTTGTCCTGTTGGTGGAAATTGGAGTATAAAGTTGAGCAAAACCATTTCATCAAAACCACAAGAAGTTTGATTAATTAACACAGATCAGACCAGATCAGCCATTTTACAGTTGTGGAGCTACTGAGGAGGAGGCCAGAGTACTTATGGATCTGACCAGAGTGCTTTGGTAATAGTGCTAATTATCAGCATTTAAAATAGTTACTTCAAACTAGTAAATGTTGTGTCCAAAATTATTAAAATAAAAATCAACAGAAAAATGGTGAAGTAAGAATTACAATATTAACTTGTTGTGTAATGTAGTAAATTGGTGAAACTGGAGATGTTTAGAAAATCATATCATGAAAGGAATTACTTATAAATACGTGGTCGGTTGCTGGTTACCAAAACAGTTTAAAAAAATAGGTAGTCAACACACTTTTTTTTAAAACTAGTGACAACTGTTTAATGTACGTGAAATAAACTGGGGTGCTATGTGTGACGTGCGTAAGCGCTTCATTGACTGTCGTATGTTTGAGCTAAAGTTACTAGGGGTGTCGCAACGTAACAAATGGCATCAACACTTAACATGCCACTGGCCAAGAGTAACACAACATGATGAATGCTGAAGCTTCCAAACGAGAACTCTTTTTAAAGTTCCATTTGTGTATTGACAAATGGCAATGATCAACACAAGGATAAATTATGCAATTAATAATCAAGCACATCAACGAAAGCGCGCTCGTACATCCATGGACTGATATGTCCTCACGATAGGTCGCAGTCCGACCTTGAGATCCAGACAATCATCTTTGTGTTCCGTTCATCCGTCTGAATTAAATAATGAAGGAATACCGGCTTACTGCCGAAATGTAACGTTCACCAGCTTCCTGCTGAGGTCTATCTTGGAGTCCCGGGGTAAAACGTCCTCAAGGATCCAACTTTATATAACGTTTGCTTCCGTGGGATCCCGGGGTAAAGCGTCCTCAAGGATCCACACGTCCGTCTCCTTTGGACTATAAACATCAACTGCCTTTGACAACAATACCTTCACACCTTATTGTTTTGACGTCTTATTTTCTCACTCAGTATTGGTGCGTTCTGGTGCACATCCGCACGCGACACTATGGTTATTTCAGATAATGCATGTGCTTGTTTATTCAGCCATTCATGGAATTATTATATGCATACTGTGATTTCCTACTTTTTCAAAGAAATGTGTAATGACATACATTTCTACTCCACACTGCATCATCACCACCATGTAGCAGGTCTTCAGCAGAATATCAATCCCATTAGGGCACGACAGAAAACCTCTAGGTCTTCAGCCAATTTTCCTGTCGCAGGTATTTTCACACTCAAAGTGTCTTCAGTATCCTGTGTCCACCTTCATGTTCTAACCCCTGCCTCCTCTTTCAGGAACCATATCTTCCTTTGCTCTGTCTAAGCCACCACAATATTTAATATGGCCAATGTATTTCAGTTTCTCAGACAGAATGAGTTTTGTGAGTAAAGATAACTTTGAGGTTCAAATCTTGTAAAATGTCAGTATTCTTATTCTTCTTAAACCCTAATATTAATAACTTTTTTCCAGCTCTCTTTCACTTTAAAAAAAAACAACATTTTTTAAACATTACTTACTGATACTATTACTCTACCTTATATGCTTTCCTCAATACAGCAATTTTAATTTTTTTTATTTCCTTTTTTATATTCTTACTGACATTTACTTTATATTTCTCCAAACCCCTCTACAAAGTATAAAACATTCTCTAAATTTGTTTCACTGAGTTTAAACAACTTACTACAGTAAAAGCTCATTATTACAAACACTCAGTTAGCATGAACAAACCCCTGGCCCAGCAGAGATGTATTATTCATTATATATCTATTCCCTCCTGGTGAGCACATATTCTTTTAACACGAACTCATGATTTTTAAGTCTCTTGGAATTTGTGTTAACAAGATTACACAGTGTATAAATTATAGTTTATACTTCATAAGTGAATAAGCAAAGCAATGCAATAACAACAATATAATCCTAAATGCAAGAAGTAAACTTTGCCCTCATATTAAACCCCCTCCCCCTCTCTTCCCCATAAGAAAGCAAAGAATAGTATTATCCAGGCATTCCCTCAGAGATTACAAAAACTGGGTAAGACCATCTACCTGACTCCATAGAAAGTAGCTGCAAAATCCACACATTCATGAACAAGTCTGGGATTAAGGATAAACACTATCCCTGACAAATGTTATTAAAGGAAGATGGAGATGATTTGGACATGTTTGCAGAGTAACTCAAGACACTGACAAGGACAGCTCTGCAGTGGACAGCAGATGGAGAAGAGAAACAAAGGCAACCTAAGAAAACCCACATAAGGACAGTAGAAAGGGAACTGAAGGAATGTAAAATGACATAGGATAACGTATGCAGAAAAGCAGCAGACAGGTGGCAATGGAAATCACTGTGAATGCCTTTTGGGTCGACAATAACAAGGGAATATAGAGATCGTTAAGATGAAAAGTGGAGGAAGAACTTGGTGTGAGTTATCTGAGGGCCTATGTTTCACTGAGACAAGAAAGGTAGAAGAAGAGAAGTCAAAAGATACAAACTCCACACATACAAACTGTAAACACACGTTATAAATTGAAACATATAAAACAGGCTGTGTTACCTTGACAGTTCTAATTGCCATCACCCACTGGTCAAAAGCAGCTTCTGACTCAGCACAAAAATACCGGATATATTTAGATGTTTTCTTCTGTATCTGTGGATGCTGAAAATAGAATGAAATTATATAAGATCTGCAGTTTGCCATATCAACACTTAACATAACAGCAACTATGAACTGCTTATAACAAGAGTGAAAAGGCAGAAAACACAATGGCACGGACCTTTAATCCCATCTGCCAGCGTCTCCAAAGCAATACAACAGTTCTTGGTACAAAGGACGAGGAGAAGAGGCAGATCCAGAAAGACCTGCATGCAGAATTATGCTGAGTGGACAGGCCTCAAACATGCAAATATTAAATCAATTACAACTGACCGACAGAGACAGAGGGAGCTGATCAGACAGTCAAGAGCAACTGGTGACCCAACAACATGCTATGTTAAATGACAATGATGACGATGGTGGTGATGATTATAATGAAAATGAAGCTGAACTTGGGTCAATGTTCAAAAAGAAAGAAATAAGGAAACTGCTTCAGAACAAGAAAGTGATATTAAATAAATGTAAATATATTTAACAGAGCTGTTAATAATGTTTATAAATTACCTTCAGAGCAAAACAGTAGTCTGTAGGAGCATGGTATTTCTTCTTCCAGCCTAGACCATGATACACATCCACATACTCAAACTGTACCAGACATACCAGGTCCTTAGGATTCTGTAAGTATCAGAAGAGTGAATAAAAAATATTTTCATAATTTTTTTTTTTAAATTGCCAAATTACATAAAATAACACTTCTTAGTGGTGTGTATAATTTATTATAAACAAACTGAAATGAACAGACTGGCGTTCATAGAAAGAAGTAGAGAGACAGGTAAAGAAGTAAAGTTTCCTTTTCCACGTCTTCAAGCGTATATGGCATATAGGGCTAGACCTATATTTTTATATTGGCACAAAATGGGTGATGTGGTCAGCATCACGCCGGCCAACTTTACTTCCCAGGACTTCAACCGGTACCCACTCAAGGCTGGGCCAACCTGGGAGTTAAGGCCATTTTTGACAAAAGTCCGGCTCCTCCAGGAGGCGAACCCACGACCTTCCGATCCGCATGCAAGTGTCTAGCCACTACACCACGGCGACTCTGAGAGAGACAGGAGGATATGCTAATATCAAAGTGAAAGCTACAGTTACCATGCTGGGAATCGAAGCTGTCAACTCCTAATAATGACAGTACCTTGCTGTTTGCTTCAACGCATGACCAACTAAGCACTTTCTACGAGTGCCAGTCAATACATGTCAGTTTGTTTACAATACTGTTCCTATGGCCTCAGAAGCCCCCCCCCCCCCCCCCCCACCCCCCTTTATTATTTCTGCATAATTTACTAAAATTAAAAAATAAAAATCACACATTGCACTGGGCACACACTATAATAAATCACTTCCTAACCTTGCTTGCTTTTCCTTTAGGACTGTAGTAAAGTCCAGACGCTCTGAGGACAAAAAAGAATTTCTTCCATGCTTTCTTGCCATCCGATTTTAGGTACAAAGCTCCCTCTACTGGAGGTACACAAGAACTGTCAGGGGCAAAGAACTCCTGATGAGAGAACAAATAAAACTTGTAAATAGTATCTTTAAGAAATATGCACATGACAATCACATTTTCTAGAATCCATTTCAATGAAAAAAATTCACACCTGCTAAACATGCAGTAGTCTATTTCACAACAAATGAGATATCTTAGGTAGGAGTGTTGCAGCCTCGGGGTTTAAACAACTGTTTTATTTATTCCATTTAATGCTTCACTCTGCTTGTGTTTATTGATTACTCCCTTTATATATATTTATATATTTTACCCCCAAAAATAGTTCATGTAAATAAACAAAAATTGTTAAACAGTTTATCAGTGACATGTGCAAAAACACTGGATTTGTGTGTGTGTGTGTGTGTGTGTGTGTGTGTTTTAACCCCCTCCACAAAGACAAACTCGGTCTAAAAACAACTGTGCACATAATTGAACAAAATAAACTGTTTCTATCAAAGTCTTGATTTTAGAACACAAAATCTAGGTATATAAAACAGAAATTGTGGATATTTGGAACACAAAATGTGGGTGTTTAGAACACAAAATGTGGGTGTTTAGAACACAAAATGTGGGTATTTAGAACACAAAATGTGGGTATTTAGAACACAAAATGTGGGTATTTAGAACACAAAATGTGGGTGTTTAGAACACAAAATGTGGGTATTTAGAACACAAAATGTGGGTATTTAGAACACAAAATGTGGGTATTTAGAACACAAAATGTGGGTATTTAGAAAACAAAATGTGGGTATTTAGAACACAAAATGTGGGCACTTTGAACATAAATTGTGGATAGTTAGAACATTTGGGAATTTTCACAAACCTGTATCAGTTTGTCCTTCTTTTCTGGACTCAAAGGGCCTTGCTTCATTCCAGTAGTGGCCAGGAGGTATTTCTGTTGACAACAAGACAAATAATGAACAAATGACTGGGAAATTCAGTGAAAACAAATCCAACATTGTGCGAGAACATACAACATAAAAATAGAAACATCAAGAGGCACAGGGAGACCAGAAAAAGATGGACTGAAGGAGTTACCAAAACCCTAAGATAACAAAACATCACAGCATACACAAGCAACCTAGGGTAACTTAGGCTACCTATCATCATTAAACTGTGATGCCAGGCATCACAAGGCAGATAATTGCCAAAAAGTAAAAATTAACTTCGTTTTCGTCTGCCTTTTATCTCCCAGTGGAGGATAAGCCCTCAGTCAACTCACGTCATTCTATCCTTCGCTGTTGTATGAAGCCCACCCTATGACTTACACATCTTTTAACTTCACTCCCTCGCTCCCTTCTCCATGTGTTTTCTGGTCTGCCTTTATTTCTATGCCCCTTTGGGTTTCAGTGCAAAGACATTCTAGTTATACTGTCTCACATTTTCTCAAGATGTGTCCTATCCAACACCCGCATCTTTTCATCCCCTCTTGGTCCACTGGAACTTGTTTACCTCTCCTAAAGCTCAGCATTAGTGATTCTATCATACCATTTAATTCCCTCTATTCTGTGCAGGCACCAGCTAATGAATGTGTGTAGTTTATTAGTAATTGTTTTAGCTGTACGGCAGTACTTAAATGACATTCAAATTCTGAAAAGGAAAAATTAACTAAGATGAAAACAAACCCAGCGCCACCTGACGGACACTACCATTGCAGTGTGAAATGTTAAGACCTTACTTACAGGCCATGATATGATGACAAAGCTGAATGATGATAAAGGTGAATGACGATACAGGTGACTTATTCACTTCCCCAACACCCTTCCATCCAAAACAATCCCCAGGGAATTCTTGATGTTACGAGCTTGGACTGATCCCATAGTTGCAATGGCAGAACAAAATCCTTCCAATACCAGGGGTCATACCCAGACTACTCTGGTGGCAGGTGAGCAACTAACTATTACACACACAAAATAAAACACTGTACCTTTACAAACATTCAATTACAAAATACTGTACTTTTACATGCATTCCACAAAAATTAATTAGCTTGGTTGTGGGCTCAAGTCAGCACTGAGATGGAATTTTACAAAAACTGACAGATCACCTCAGCATAAAATAGGCAACACGAAAAACTGAACCATGTCACTCATCGAGTGCTGAATGGTCGATACAATTATGGGGCTGGCAACATACGCCAGATTTGCCTCAAATGGGGGTCTTCATGGCAAAGTAGTCCCGCCATTTTCCTCGCGCTCTGAAGGTCATGAGTTTGTTTCAAGGTTATGTCGTTGAGTTCATGAGTGCAATTTTAACAGAAACCCCTAGGGACTGTAGTCAGAGGTCTGGTATTCTCACTAGACAACTAGAAGTACTGCAGAAAGAATGTGAGCCATGAGAGATCGAACCCGGTGCAATGAAGTTGATCCTCTTGATTTTAACTTTGCCTCAAACATTACGTTCCTTTATTTCTTTACAATTCCCAGCAAGCAAAGTAAATGTTAACACGTGTACTGACCTCTGGAGATCTGAACAAGTCATACTTGTCCATCCTCTCCTCAAACATGATCTTGTTCTTGGAATCTTTGGTCCACATAACCATATTTTCCACTAGGGAATCATGGTCTTCCAGAATTCGCTCTGTGTAGATGAAAACATTAAAATAATTATGGTGGATGAAGTAAGAAATAAAACGGAAAAATCATATACCAGGGGGCTTCAAATTAAAACCTTTAAAGTGTGACAGAAATTACAGTAACCACGTCACTGTCTTGTAACCTGTCAATACTGCTGTTAAGAATGTCCAGAATGTTAAGCAAATGACATGATGATGTCATAATGAGTTTAAAGATGGCCAACCCACTTTGACAGCACTAAAGAGGAGCAACGTTCACATCTTTTAAAATAGTGAAGGGGTAAAACCTATAGGAATTCATCTGCAAATTTTGACAGGTTATAAGACAATGACATAGTTACTGTCATTTCTATCACATTTTTAAGGTTTTCATCTGACCGTATGAAGAAAGATAGCACTAATAAAAACTCAAGGGAAAAGTAAAGATCAGGTGAATAAGAGGCAAACACAACACAAATGGGAGGATAACATTAGAAAATGAACAAAAAGCAGTGTACCACAGATGAGCTGAATTAATACATACAGCATTCTGAACATTCTTATAAGTGCTCCATTCCAACCGTCAGCAACCGGTGCAGAGTTCCAGTGTTGATGGTACCAGTACCTACAGTAGTTTCTTCTTCTTCTTCGCGTTCACCAGCTGTAAACTCTGACGGAAAGTTCTGGTTGTTCATCCACTTCTGGACTGCAGTCCTGTTCCAAAACCTGAGTGTCGGGCTTGCATCCGTTTTACAGATCTGACTCATTTGTGTGCAGACTGCTGATTCCTTGCCTCTCAGGCAGATGCACTCCGACTTCGAAGGAAGCTCCCAATTAGTCGACTCTTGCGACATGCTTTTGGGTAGGCAGTGGATCTATTCTTGTTTTCCCTATAATAGGGCCCCGGAACCCACACAGGGAGTAAAGTAGTTTGATTATATGTAAATCTTGCCTTTTCTCTGAGTGCTTAGTATCAGCAAGCTTTCCTGAAACTTCTTCTTCTGTGTTTGCCGAGAAAAGAGTAGTTGGTATGCTGTATTGTGGTTTACCGCTAAGCTGTGATATATGCACCTTGCGGTCCAATATATCCAAATTCAGCAAATCCGAATAAGTTGTCTTCTACAACATGATTGTTAGGGCTAGTGGGTCACTTCTTTTCCACTCAAAATGGGACCCCTGAACTCACTCTATGAGATGTAACATAATCAATAATATTTCAATGATTGTGTCGTGGTTAACATTCTATATCTGTTTCTTTAACTCTTGCTTAATTTCAAATAATACATACCAAATGCCTCTACAACACCCTCTACCCAACCAATCCATTTACTTCCATATGTTTTTATACCAAGAATTACTCCACTGCTGGCTTCCTAGCCCATCTGAAGCTTAGGGAGAATATGAGCGTGTTTATACTCCTCCTCTTCTTCTTCCTCATGGTTTTTTTTTTTTTTAAGCATTCACCGACTGTAAACTCTAGCAGAAAGTTTTGGTTGTTCGTCTACTTCTGGACTTTATAGTCTTGCTCTAGAACTGTTTTGTGTGCACATTCATTTTACAAATCAGGCTTATTTAATGCAGACTGTTGGTTCCTCGCCTGTTGGTTCCTCATGCAGATACACCTCCAACTTCGAGGGAAGTATCTATAATTAGTCACCTTTTACAACATTCTTGTTAAGAAGGGGAGTGAGGGGGCATCCACAGTGGGTCTGTTCTTACTTTCTTCAAAACAGGGTCCAGGAAAATCCACACAGAAAGCATGTTTATCCAAATTCAACAGATAATCCACAGTTGATTAATCATCCATTTAGGGTGAAGGGACAGTAAGATAAACATAACAAAAAAAAAAGCAGAGACAGAAGGATACACTAGACAAAATACAAATAGAAAATTATAATCAGTACAATTATAATTTGTCAATCATAGTTTTTCAACGTCCTTTCTGGGGGAGCGACCAGGCGATCTGGCCGATACTCCACGCTCAGAAAAAAGGCACCACAAACATACAGACTGCTGCTGGTACCATAAGAGTTAATACTCTTAGTCGACTGCTGAAGATGGGGACTCAGCACTTATGAGAATGTCCTGTGTGCTGTGATGTCAACTCCTGAAACTCAACTGAGCTCAACTCAACTCAATGGCCTTAATGGTTCAATGGTAGTTTATTGTAATTCCCCTAATTATACCCATTTTACTAGGCAGATTACTGAAAATTCGGGCCTGGGTCAGATATAACTGAGCTACCCTAAAACAAGTAGTCTAAAGGCATGGCATCAGGTGCTGGAGGTCCTGGGTTCAAGCCCCAGTGAAGGCTAGGATCTAACGGTGCTGTCCAGGCACACACATAAACATTTTTTTAAAAATTGGGAGTTAAAAATCTACTCAAAGTATTTCAGGATCCTTGCCAGTGCTATGGAGTTCGTGCATTGCGCTGAGATTCTTCGAACTCAGTCTTGAATTAGAAGTAGAAAGGAGGACTTATGGGTTACTACCCTTATGCCAAGATGTTGATTCGTTGAATAAACCATAAACCATAAGTAATTAGTACTACCTGTTTATTAGCATATACCAAACCTGACTTCAGACCTTGTGCCAATGGCTATGTCTGAAGAAACACATCAAGAAGGACACTGGCCTTATCTTAGGAAGAAGAAATGCCCTCTGAAAACTGCATGTTATGGCAGGTCAAGCTTTGGGTGGCAGTCGGTCTAAGAGGGAAGCAATGAGGAACAGAGAGACAGAGCACAGACTTTTCTTATCAGGCAGCTTCTGCAGCATACAATATTTCAACAAATGTACTAGTGTTACCTTTTCTTTAGAGTAAACAAAGCAGGCTGAGAAAGCGACCATGCAGGAAGAATTTAACCCCTGGCCTTGACTGGCTGTAATTCACATGATTTCCTATAACTTAATACAACACTATCATCTAGAAAGATGGAGAGGTGCTACCCATAAAATGAGGCTGAATGGCGAAACAGGAATATGTTCCCACTGGAATGACAGGCCACTATGAGTGATAAACCTTCAGGAGGAAGTCCAGTGGGGGCAAAACAGTCATTCAATCAATTTACCTTAATGCCTAAAAATGAGAAAACTATTAATATTAAAGGATTACACTGATCAGCAACTGTTACATTTAAAAGACATACCCATCAGCAGTTCAGGCATTAGTTCAACGACTGATAACTTGTGGTTCAGTCGCACGTGGTTCTTGTCTGCCAGCTGACTACAGACTTGAGAAATCGTCATCTTCTCATCTACCAAAATACTTTTGCTACTTCCATCTTTTGCAAATGCCCGAACAAATAACTGGAGAGAGAATAAAATATCTGTAAATACCTTTTACAAATGTCCTGCTGATTTATGCAGCTGTTCTTGTTCCTGTCTTTTCTTCTGCCCTTTATCCCCCACTGGATTAAATGTTGAATTAGGAATCGACATCATAGCACTTGGGGCACTCCCATAAGCGCTCCATCTCATCTTCAGCAGCAAGCAAAGAGTTATAATTCTGATGGCACCAGTAACTGTCTTACTGTATATCCCTCTCGCCCTTCCCCTGAGTGTTGAGCGTTTGTGAGATCTCCTGATAACTCCTTGCAGCGCCATTCTCCTCAGAACGTAATGATCTATCTGTGCCTTCGCACTGTTCACTCGCTCCCAAACAGCCCTCACAATATTTAGTTTGCCATTCACCACCAAGTGGTGCAGAGCCAGTCAGTATTTCCCAACACACCGGCATGACCTGGAGAAAATTTCTAAACGACACTAACTACCCGGGACTTATGAACCCATGCTTGCCTTTCTGCATGGAGCATGCCTGTCTCTACCATCCTCAACATGCTCTGTGAGTCAGTTACAGACACGGCATAGGAGTGCAGCTGATTCTCAAGCCAGCGGAAGGCAGCAGTGACTGCCTCCACCTCCATTCTCAAACATTCTCCCCCATTGGAGCACAGGCCATGTATCAAGTCTTATTCTTTTATTTTGCATGAAACTCACTCCAAGTCTTCCCCATCTTTTAAACTTCACTCTCTAGCTCCCTTATCTGTGCATTTATTTCTATGCCCCTGTGGATTTCAGTGTAAAGACATTCTAGTTATATCATTCTCAGATTTTTCTCAACATGTGTCCTATTTAATGCCAGCACCTTTTCTTCACCTCTTGACTTACTGAAATCGTGGAAGCCTGGTCTTCCATTGCTCTGTACTAATTATATTTTGTCAATCTTTTGCGGTTCATACTAGTTTTCCCTCATAAAGAATTCAACTTTTTCTGTGCCTTCTGTAATTATTAATGCTCTTCTGCTTGACTTGATTTGTTGATTTCATAGAGATCTGGTGGAGGTGGTATTTTTGGGAAATCTATTCTGAATCATTACAGATTTTAAAAATAAGGATGTTTATCCAATTATTTTTTTTTCTGCAATAACTAAATATAATGTGTATTAAAAAAAACATAATGTGATGTCATTAAAGTTTGACTGGTGATTGGCTGGTTACATATACCTCTCAAAGTAATCATGATGTCAACAGAGATTCTGTATGTTTTTCAAGACTCCAGCTGCTTCCTACCAACAAGCAGACAGAGATTGTCCTCTTGTATATGAATGTGTGAAATGGCTGTATTTGAAGACTTCAGTGTGCTACATCTCTCTACCAACCAACATGAATTACTATCTCTAGTATAGAGATAACATACAAGGGCAATACGTAAATCAAAAGGGTTAATCCTAACACAGAGGTGCAATCCCTAACACAGAAGTGCAATCCCTAACACAGAAGTGCAAACCTTAACATAGAAGAGCAAATCCTATCCACAAAGAATGTAACTAACTCTTTTTTTTTTTTAATGTTAGGTGTGTATCCTTTATAGGACATTGCAGAACCAACTCCAGCAATATTTCATTGTCTAAATTTAATAGATAATTTAACGTTTAGTAATTTTCAAGTGCTTCCTAATGTTTGGCACTCAATGCTATCGTCGAAATCAACGAAAAACAGTCTGCTGCCAGAATAAAAAGCATAGGTCGCAACGCTTAAGCCGCAGATGCCAATCCAATCCCTAACAAATACAAAAAATACTTCATATACAAAGCAAAAACCTAATAAATAATTATAATCCTTAACACAGAAAACAGCAGAGAATGAAGGATGAAAAGTAACAGTAAAAGTAATATGTCTGTTTCTTCTTAGCATTCACCAGCTGTAAACTACAGCAGAAAGTTCTGGTTGTTCGTCCACATCTGAACTTTGGTCCTATTTCAGAAATGAGTTTTACATGTCAATTCATTTCTGGCTTATTTGTATGGAGACTGTTGGTTTTTTGCCTCTCAGGCTGATGCAGTCTGACTTCCAAGGAAACGTCCCAAATTAGTCACCTTGATGACACGCTTGTTAGGGAGCAGAGGGACTATTCCCCCCCCCCCCAACTGAGGCCCCAGACCCACAGAGGGAATAATCTGTTTATATCACTACGTATTACTGGCATCCTGAAAGCTAAGAAACTAAAATGGATGGGGCATATAGAGAAAATGGCAGACAACAGAGAGACAACAACAGAGTACAAAAAAGAGTTAAACTGGAGTACACCAAGGCAGACCAAGAAAGTGAAGAGATAACATACAGCAGATCTACAAAGACTTGGGGTCACTAGCTGGCAAGGCCAATCATAGAGACGAATGAAGGTGAGTGGTATCTGTAGCAATGAAACTCAAGGGCTCAGAATACTGAAGCAGAAGAAGGAGGAAGGGAAGGAGGAGGTGAAGGAAACAGGAGGGCAACAATAAAGAAAGGATGAAGACTCATTTACCTTCCTGATATTGGAATCCTTGATCCTTTCCAAAGCAATGCGAATCTTTTCAGCTTTACGGGCAATCTGCTCATCCTGTGGAAAAAGGTTGAAAAAAACAAACATAAAAACATGCCACCTAGTTAGCTCTGTCTAAGATGTTGCATTTTTTTCTAACAAACTTAGTTATGTATAGATATTACTCCAAACTGGTTACTTTATTAAACAAAATCTAAACTTAATATATTTAGCTCTAATGTCAAATCAGTACTGTTGTTTGGAGCTGAAACATAAAAATGGAGGACAACTTAACATGTACTAATAAACTACAAACTTTCATTAAGTGGGGCCTGTGCAGAATAGAGGAAATTAAATGGTATGACTGAATCCCAAATGTGGAGCTTTGGGAGAGAACCAAACAAATCCCATTGAATCAAACAGTGAAGAAAAGATGCAGAGAAAACCTGAGAACAATATAACTAGAATGTCTTTACAATGGAACCCACAGAGACACAAAAAATAATAAAAGCAGACTCAAAAAAAAAACACACATGGAGAAGTGAGCTAAAGAGTTAGGTTAAGCAGACAGGAAGAACATGGTGTGACGAGGTGGTCTGGATAACTGTTTCTTACCTTTTAATTATTGCTTTGCATTAGCAATATAATTCAATTTCTTACCTATTAATTATTGCTTTATAATATTAATATTATAAATTTCTTAATTATAAAGTTAAAAAAGGTGAATGAGTGTGGGAGTATCCACCCAGAGTTAGCTTCCCCTTTCAATAACTTCCTGTTAGCACTTCACTTCCTTTTTCAAATCAGACATGGTTGAGAAAACTCAGTTTACTACAGTTTGTAGTCAGTGCTGAAGTCTAATTGTCTGTTTAAAATCCCAACCAGGGGTGAATGAATAATTAGTACTATTCTATTTTGATCTATTGCTGCTAATTTCTCTCAATTCATTTTACCTGCTAGCTATATAGAACATGATGCTCCCTACCAGACGAGGTGATTCCACTGGAATGCCCATTAACGTCGTTATCTGAATTCGTAATGTTTTGAGGCATGATTTACTAGGGATAATACAGCGGTGGTTTCCCATTGCCGTCTGCTGGTTTGTTTGCGCAAAAAAAGCACTCTAAATAAGACAAATGCAAAACAGGCTTGTCTGCCATTTTAACTGCTGATGAAGGCTATCTGCAATGTTCACTTGTCATCTAATCTATTTTTTAATTCCCGTTTTAATCGCTGATGAAGACTTTCTAGCTGTAACGTTCACTTATCGTTTGTATTTGTGATAATGTGAAGCTGACAGATTCTACTTTTTGTTTGGTTTGATATCTTTTTATGACCATATTAGTTAGAGCCTAGATGTATGCGGCAGGAAAACCACAACTTAAGGTTCCTGGTAATGTTAGTGCTTTAGCCAATCCTTGCGGCTTACAGGTTAGTGAATGCGTTTAACAATTTCATCATCCTATAGTACTTAAGTTCAATATTCACATCGGATGCTCTGTGTGTGTGTGTTTTTTTTTTTCATTCTCCAGAAATTAGTACGAGAGTCATACTGTGGAAAAGACTGGAGCCTAGCCGACGTAATAGTTCCAAAGTCAGCAGTGGGCGAGCGGACAACAGACAAGACTGATGGGGCACAAACAGTCGGAAAGGCAATCAGGAGCTGGGTTCAACTGAGAGACAGACAATACAGTGTTAAAATGGTCCGATGCACTAAAAGTAAATATAGAACCCTTTTCACATCTTCAGTTGCATTGGGCATATAGGGCTAAACATATATTTTATAGACGAATTGGCATTTTGGGTGATGTGGTCAGCATCACGCCCGCCACCTTTACTTTCCAGGACTCCACCTGGTACCCATTCAAAGCTGGGTCAACCTAGGTCATTTTTGAAAAAGCCCGGTACCGTCAGGGCCTGAACCCACGACCTTCTGATCCGCAGGCGAGCGTCTGGGCGCTATGCCAACTCGGCTCTCTTACACTGAAAGGACTGACAGATAAACAGTCGTAAAGGCGGTCGGATGAACAGAAAGACAAGCAAACGGACAACAACTATTCACCATTGCTTTGTGACTGTTCAAAATATTTCAGAACTGAAAATGTGGCCTGTGAATCTTTTCAAGCCTACAATAGGTAATGACAGGCAGACAGTTATGTAACAAATGTGAGAGACGCGCCTGCCTGTCTCCTGTGTGTTAACCGTGTATAAACAGTCAGTCTAAAATCTCGTCCGCGTGCATCCAAACCTAACTCCTCAATCCGTACTCTTGCATAAACTCCTCTGGCATATCTCCGAGCCCTCTTAACACTCCAGAATTGCTTTATTCAAGAATGCACATCTCCTTGTAAGAGCCGTGATTGGGGGTTGTGGGGGAAAAGGGGGGGGGGGGGGGGCCTTGGTAGCTAGCTGGTCGGAGAAAATAAAAGCGCGTGCGAATGCTGGAACAGCCTGCCGACAAAAAACTCCGCTGCCCAAGTTCAAGCTTCAGGAAATAAATAACA